TGTGCAAAACAACGTTCATAATGGGTCAATACAAATGGGCAGTTATCCATTTGCTTGTCTCTGTGAATCTTTATTAATCTTCTTGTCTATTATTGACCAATGACTGTTTCGATTAGCTCTACGAGGCGACTGCTGTTGTGATTTTGGGCGCTGTAAAAATAAATTAAAATGAAATTCATTTTTTTATAATTCATTTTTTTATTCTTAAACTAAAAGAATTTATTATAGATCACGTTCATACCTTGAAAAAACTTTACATTGTGTACTAAAATCTCATCTGTGATTTCTTTAAACATGATTTCTCAGATTAATCCATTACCTCTTGAGTCCTATGACCTGCAGTTCCTCCTTGGGGACGGTGGCAGCATTAGACCCATAATAGAGACACTTAGTGGAGATGTATGCCTCCAGATAAGTGACAATAATTAGAAGTGCCTTGTGCATCTCCCGTGGCTCGCCGGTAACAGCAGGAGCAAATTAAAAAGTCCCAACCGTTTCATTGATCCTGTGTTCCGCTGTGGGCAGTTAAGACGCAGAGTTTATTTTTGCAGACATCTTTCTCTGTCAGACCTTCGTGCTCTGCCTGTGTCTCATTGTGCCCACCTTTATTGGTAAGAGACAGTGGTGGTGACAAAGTGGGCACATTAAAAAGGCCATGATCACAGTGGCAAACAGATTATGTGTTTGTAAGAGGAACGAGGAGAGGATGGGAGCAGCAGAATCCCCTTAGTGCAGAGTCCAGGACAGAACCAGCGGTAAATGTTTGATAGTAAGTCTTTATTATACATATAGCTTTGTGTATTCTAGTTTAGTGTTATTCTCTATTGGCACAATCGATATTTCACCGTTATTATTTACTTCAGTCTATTGTGCACTCCTGCTGAACTCGTCTTTTGTTTGTCTGTTGTTTTATTGTTAAGAGGGCTATAGACTAAATTGTGTGTGCGATTCAGTAGTGAACTAAAGTGGGTGTATTGCAAGTAAAGATGCACCGGTTCAGGTTTTTTTGGTTCTGATACGGAAGTCGATACTTGGCTTTAAGTATTTTCCGATATCCAATATCAACTGGTACCAGGACAGAGACTGGAAATATTATTTATTTCCTGTAAAGACATCAGGTAAAATGATCCACATGTGTTTAAGAAGTACCGAACAGCTTTGTAAAAAAATGCAAAAAGCTGATATCCGATCCACCAAAATTTTCAATATTGGTGGCGATATTCAATAAAAGTAATGTATTGCACTAGCCAGGCTGGCGCCACCTAGTGCCTCCTCTTAATTTAATTCCTCTCCAGCTACTTGGTCAGGAATCAAAATACAAAAGACTGTTAGCAAACACCCCAGAAGTGCAAGTTTGGACACCAGCTAATCAGCGAAGAGTCATATATTCAGTGTCGTCAACAATTCCCGATATCGATGATTTAAAGCCGAAATAAAGAGAATGTTTGGTGAATTTCATCAAGGGGAAAGACTTTATTGTCCTTCTTCCTACGGGGTTTGGGAAAAGCTTAATATACCAGTTAGCCCCATTCGTGGCTCATTATATACATCACGACCAAATAGCAGCAAATGGTTAAATGATAAAAAGTACCCGCCTATCGCTGAGCAAACGAAATCTAAGGCTGCGAGGTCAGATGGTTTGTAAGAAGTGAAATGAAGTAAAACGAAGTAAAACCGGCTGATGAATCAGGCTAGTATCGTGCATCCCTAACAAGCTCTTAAAACTATTTAGTATCTCTATGATCTAACCATGCATCTGAGCCAAACTGCACTCAGTAAATAAATAAATAAATAAATAAATTGTAACTACCAAATTTTTTTTTACTATAAAGTGCACCGGATTATAAGGCGCGATATCAGTAATGTTGAATTCTCTCGTCTGTTTTCATACATGAGGCGCATCAGATTATGAGACGCATTAAACCAAACAAAACAGTCAGATAAGTCAAACTTTATTCAGCTCATTCTCAATAACTCAGCCCAGGCTAGAGTGTGTATCAGGCAAATTTTTCTGTCCGAGCTCGGCCTGCGTCCGACAGAGCAGTGATCGAATCCGACCCAAGCCTGATAGGTGTTAAGATATTTGAGTCCGAACACGACCGACCCCGACACAATTAAAATCACACTATTTTTTTGAAGTACAAGTAAACAATGTGTTTCTCTTTGGATTCCTCTGTCTCCTGTGGGCCACATAAATCCATATAATCTTAATTAAAAAATGATTTGACTAATGACAGTGTTGGTCAACTAAGACACCACTGACCAATTAATCGATTGAACGACATAAGACTTGCAGCCCTCATTGTTTGCTGTCATGAATTTGTACAAAAATGTTTGCGAAAATGACTGAAAATGATGGAAATTAAAATGATTAGTCTATACCACAGAAACTACTCTCTTCTACAACAATAGTCTGGTAAAAAGGAGTTGAGTCTCACCATTCTTTCTGTGTTTATGCCACTAGAAGTCAATCTAATTTCTTTGAGGTCTTTACTTTTAGAAGTCAGAAAAGCTATTAACCTCCAGTAAATGGGGAAAGCATATGGCTATGGTTGCCTTCGGTGTCTCTCATGGGAGTAAATTGTATTGTGGATAGGGAAGAGCTGTTTATAATTCCACACAATGTGATCAAAACATACCACACAACATGAGGTCACTGGAGACAAACTACTACTTTCTTGACTATTTCTTTCTTTGACAGTATTCCTCTAAACCATCAGAGCTATCAATAGAATAGGCTTGGGCTTGTTACAAAACTCATTATGTCAGTATTGATGCTGAGGTAATTAAAACATGTCTTTCAACTTCAAATTATTTTTTTCTTTTCAGTGCTGCTTGATGTCAATAATAAAATGTAACACATATATTTTCCATAGTATTGAGGAGGAAGAAATGTAAAGGTCCTAAACATCCTTGTGTATTTTTAAATGTGACAAATGTTTGCTTATATTTTTGTTTTTATTAGCCAGAAATTGTACTCAAGTAAGAATACTAAAATAATATAACTCAAGTAAAAGTATAAAGTAATAAACCAAGAAATTAAGAAAGTAAGAGTAAACAGTTTAGGAGGAAGAGCAACTGTCTGGGTGTAAAATCAGATTTATAATTTGAAGATGATTTAATTCTATAAACAAAATCTGGAATGTCAAAGATTAGACACAAAAACAAGAAAAAACATGAGAAACTAAATTATATTTGAAGGAGCGGTGCAAGTTTAAATCTGGTAAAATTGTCAACATAAAAAGTTTGCCAGATAAATAAACAAACTTACTCATAATGACAAGAGTAATCAAAACTTTTTACTTAAGAGTACTAGGGATGTAACAATATCCAAATCTCACAGTGTGATATTTTCACGATATACATGTCACGGTATGGTATTTATTGCGATATTTTGTGGAGGCTAACAAAATTCCTCTTAAAATCACTGTTGGGCAAGTTACTTTAAAAATGTAATGCTTGTTACTGTCATTTCAAAGTAATTTGTTATATTACAATATTACTGTATTTAAAATGTAAGGCATTACATGACTATTGCAGCACTTTTAAGTTACTCTCACCAAAATAACTGCAAAGATAATGAACTTTTGCGCAATATATGGACTGAACCGGGACTAAACCAGGACTGAACTGCATCTAAATCAAGTCTAAACCAAAACTGAACCAAAGCTGAACCCGGACTGAGCCAGGACTAAACCAGAACTGAACCAGGTCTAAACCAGGTCTAAACCAGGTCTAAACTAGGATTAAATCAGGACTAAATCAGGACTAAACCAGGACTAAACCAGGTCTAAACCAGGTCTAAACTAGGATTAAATCAGGACTAAATCAGGACTAAACCAGGACGAAACCAGGTCTAAACCAGGACTGAACCAGAGCTGAACCAGGACTAAATCAGGTCTAAACCAGGTCTAAACTAGGATTAAATCAGGACTAAATCAGGACTAAACCAGGACTAAACCAGGTCTAAACCAGGTCTAAACTAGGATTAAATCAGGACTAAATCAGGACTAAACCAGGACGAAACCAGGTCTAAACCAGGACTGAACCAGAGCTGAACCAGGACTAAACCAGGACTAAACCAGGACTAAACCAGGTCTAAACCAGGACTGAACCAGGACTAAACCAGGATTAAAGTAGGTCTAAACCAGGTTTAAACCAGGACTAAACCAGGACTAAACCAGGTCTAAACCAGGACTAATCTTGGACCAGAACTTGGAATCTAGGACCACCCTTGAGAAAACCCCGAGCCCCGAGCAGGATGTCTGCAAGGTGCGATTGGGCATCAGCTGTGGTTAGCCCTTCGGAGCACAGAGTTCTGTGCTGGTCCATTCACCCGCGGTTACCTAACGGTCCGGCATTTCACCGCTGCTAATATCGCGGTGATTTTAGCGAATTTGTATGAACCCTAACCCACCACTTCAATGCAGGTTAAAAAAGCATTGTAATGCGCATTATGACATTTTTACCGAGTAAAATCTAAAATTGTTTCCCCCTGTAATGCCTTACATTACTGTGTTACAGCAAAAAGCAATGCGTTATAGTAATTTGTTACTTTTATAACACGTTATTCCCAACACTGCTTCAAATGCCTTGACAAGACTTAAGAACTAAGACTTAAAAGTGCTTAGAACTGCTATTTCTTCATGTAGTCTGCACCAAAACAGAGCAAAGGATCATGGTCTATGTAGTTCTCTCTGTTTTTTTAGCTGTTGCTGCACCATAACAATGAATTTAAGCAAAGAAACTTGTGGTTCGATATATTGTGATGGCCCACAATATTACTGAAAGACTTTTGACAATACGATGTCATGATATTTTGGTTATTGTTACAAGCCTAATGAGTACTGTTACTTCAAACACAACAGCTGTCTGAGGACTATTCTGAGTAGTATAATTTCTTTTAAAAAAGTTAAATCTAAATGTTTGTAAGCACTATAAATAACTCTCTGTAAATAACAAAACTGACCTGTCTCTTCATTGTGTGTTGTGTGTTACAGCTCGAGCAGATCCAGAAGCACACGTGGTACATGTGAGTATACCTCTGTCACTGTTTATTCTCTCCGTTCACTCTGTGGCCCGAGAGCCCCGTCCTCATGATAAATGGCCTGTATCTGAGCAGTGCATTTCAGGCGTGACTCCGGGGGGCGAGGGGGACGAGGGGAGGGGCACGGGGTAAACTGCAGAGCCTGGAAGAGGATGTGTACATATGGTCAGATGAGCAGGGAGAAGTGGAGAAGGAGAATACAAAGGTTGGAGCTACATGATCTTTCTGTGCTAATGTTTAACTTTTATGACATGGTGGACCCTTGTTTAGTGTTGTCGTTAATCTTGTTGGGTATTTATAGCTTAATGATATAATGCAGTAGGAGCATTAGTGGCAAAATTAGTCAGTTTTCATTATTTTAGACTGTGGTACATGGTCAAATGAAAGTAAGGTAACATCAGGCTAGGTTTTGTTTTTAAGTGTAGCTGTTTGCTTAGTAGACCTTGTTTAGTCCTGGTTTGGAAAAAGTAAACTCCATTTTTAACTTGGGTCAAAACAGCCACTTTTAGTCAGGCTTAGGTTCATTCTAGTTCACTCCTGATGTTGACATGTTCTTTCTTTGGTGTAGTTTTACATTAGTTATGCGTTGTTTAACATCGTTTTTCTTATTTTTCTTAATTTATTTATTGATGTTTTAAAGGTGCATTGTATAACTTTTCAGGTAAAGGGTCTTTTAAATGTTTTTCTCCGTGGAGATGTTATTGCTTTGTCTGGAATGTTTCACAGCATGGCATTAAACCTTTCTATCTTCATGGAAACCAAACCAGACCAAGTTACATTCAGATCTGTGGAGAGGCAACCCCGCACACCGTCAGAATGCCCGTTTTCTTGGTATTTTTCAGCTTTTAAATCAGCTATAATTTAATAAATGTAAGTTAAAGCTGTCTAATGTCACACTCCAGAACATTCCAGGCAGAGCAAAGACATATTCATAAAAACATTTTGATTTAATTGTTGAGTTGATTTAATTGTAAAAACAAAATCTGGAATTTCAAAGTTTAGACACAAAAATTAGAAAAAAAATAAAAAACTTGAGAAGCTAAATCATATTTGAAGTCACGGGGCAGGTTTAAATCTTATGATATTGTCAACATAAAAAAGTTAGTTAAATAAATAATAAATAAACTCATAGTGATAACCAAAACTTTTTACTTAAGATTACTGTTACATAAAACACAATATTACCTAAGTAATAAAAGTATACTGTCTGAAAACTATTCATAAAAACAAGCAGATTATGGACCCCCAGTCAAACAGTTACATAGTACACCTTTAAATTTTTAATCTAAAAAGTTTTTAATCTATATTTTACCCTCCTCCTGGGTTCATCTATTTGTTTGTTTAACTATTACAGCAATCATTTTGTGTGTTTTAGCTCTTGGTTCAGACCTTAGTCCCATTCTGCATCTGGTTTAGATCTGGTAGTACTCAGAAGACCTTATACTTTACATTATTTCAATACCTGTGAAGATAAATTGTAAAACACGTAGTGTATTGTAACATTCTCACAGGGTTTCTTGATGTTGTTTTGCCTTGTGGCTGTAAAGCGTCTGGCGTCTTCCCCTGCCATAAAATACATAAAAACAGTGTGACTGTTCACCAAACAACACACATTGTCCAATTTCATTACAACAGTGCATACTTACAATAGTGCTTTGCTTCAAAATGCATGGACAACCCCACAGAGGCAAATGAACGAGATGAACAAACAAGGCAGCTATACAATTATTCTTATACTTTAAATTGCTTACTTGCTGTTGTCTTTTAACTCCCAGTGTGGTTTTAAAAATGCACTTTCACTTATTATAACATGTTTTTGGAAGTTTTTGGTGATATATTGCGTCAAACTTTTTGACTAAAACAACTTACATCTTACTTCCTTTATAAGCATAAATGTCACCCTTTCTTAGCCGAGGGACACTGTATGACATATGACAACTGTCCCGGTCCCCCAGCCATGTATTCAGCTCCCGATGTCACTCACTCATTTACATCTGATTTAGCACTTGTCCCAACAGCGCAAACACAGCAATGAATCATGGGGAATGAATGGAAGTCCGGTGAGAGAGCAGAGTTATAGTTTTGTGTTGTAAAATATCATGCAAACAGACAGGCAGACTTGATAAAAGAAAACTAGAGGAGACAAGCGCCATGAGAGGAAACTAATACAGTGAGTGTGGTCCCCTGACTGTCTCCGTGGTGATAGCAGTGAATGATTAAACTTGCATCGGAACCAAGCAGAGCAGTTTTACGTGAGCAGGTTTTATGTGCGCGAGCTGGGGCAGATGGGAGAGCTGTGGTGCTGAAAGGACAGCTCCACACCAAGATCAAAGCTGTGTTAAAGATGCACTGTGCAACTTTTCTGGTCTTGCTTTGGCTAGAATGTTCCACGGTAGAGATTAAACTGATCTATCTCAAGGGAGACAAGTATAGGCTACATTACAGGTCAGATCTGTGTAGAGGCGACCCTGTTCACAGACAATTGTTGTATTTTTGAGCAATAGAAACACCAGTAATGAATAAATGCTAGATATATGTGTTATATACCATGGATCATTCCAAGCAAAGCAATAACATCTCCATGGAGACAAACAAGTAATGGACCCTCCAATATAAAAGTTGCACAATACACCTTGGTTGAATTTGGTTTATTTGTAGGCCTGTCTGTTGTAAAATGAATATGTTCAGAATCCGTGTATCATTCATTCATTTTTCAAAATAAAACCAAATATAAGGAAATGAAAAAAAAAAATATATATATATTTTCTTCATTGTTTGTCTCCAAAACCCAAATGAAAAAAATGGATAACGATTCATTTTTTTCAGTTTTCGATTTTGTGTTTAAATGAAAAATGGAAAAAACTGATAACAGCTGTTTCCCGTTTCTGTGACTTAAACATACAGACTGAACCAGAACCAAACCGGGACTAAAACAGGACTAAAACAGGACTAAAACAGGATTAAACTACGTCTTAAACAGGCCTAAATCAGGTCTAAATCAGGTCTAAGCCATAACTGAACCAGGACTAAACCAGGTCTACCAGGACTAAACCAAGACTAAACTGGTGCCAGACTGGTATGGAGACAGGTTTAGACCTGGTTTAGTCCTGTTTTAGTCCTGGTTCAGTCCATATGTGACGCAAAAGTCCAGCATTGCATTTTAAGTCACTGAAATGGGAAACGGCCATTTTTCATTATTCATTTAAACACAAAATCGAAAAAAATTCAAAAAAACTAATTGTTTTCATTTTGGTCTTGGAGACAAATAATGAAAGAAAAAAAAATTTTTGTTGTTTTTTCATTTTCTTATTTTTGGTTTTATTTGGAAAAATGAATGAACAAATGATACACAGATTGTTCTCCTTCCTTTTTTTCTCAGTTTAGTTATTTAAAGATGGTAGTAGGGATTTTATTAGCCTTCACCTGGGAATCTAAAAAGTTTTTGAAAGTAACATCTGGCTAGGTTTTGTTTTTAAGTGTAGATATCAGAGGAGTAGACCTGCTTTAGTCCTGATTTAGAAGAAGTGGTTTACTTCCTTTTGAATCTATCTAAGGTTAGTGCTAGTTCAGTCTTGATATCAGCATATTCTTTCTTTGGTGCAGTTTCAGTTTATACATTGTCAATTTTTTAGTTATTTTTTGGTGGTGGTGGATTTCTTGGTCAGTTAATGGTCAAATAATCCGTCATCATTATTTTTAAATGGACCTGGAGTCATTTCCTGAAGCTAAGATTTGACAACCAATGTCAAAAATTCTAAACTATAGGATCCTGTTAACAGCAGGTTCCAGGTGAAGTGTCCACAGGGAAATAAAAACACACTATTTTTAACTGAATTGTGCTGTGACTAAGGTGAGATGTAGGTCACCGTCATATTGTAGAGTTTCCATGGGGATTAGCCTATAGAAGTAAAGTCATGAAAGTTTTGCGCGCAGAGTCATTTGTTAAACCAGGTGACAAGACCTCTACGGGGAAAGTGGGTGAGGCAACAGTACTGGACGAACATCTGGAAAATACATGGCAGCGTTACAGCCAAAAATGGAGGTCTAATCCTTATGGAGATTACACAATGATGAGGCATGAGTCAGGCTGGTGCTCGCTGACCCAAATCTGCATCGTGATTGAATGAAAATTTACCAAAAAATGTGATAAAAGCTTGTATATTTTATGTTGCTGTGTATAGAGATAGGAGTGGGGCTTGAGAGGGTTTTATTTATTTAATTTGGTCTATTATTGACATGTGTTGACAGCAGTTGCAGCTGCGCCATCAAGCCCGCAGAGTAGAACAAACCATAATGAAAGCAGTGGCCATGTTTTTGTATCTTAAAAGTGCAACTCATAATATGTTTTAAATTGACTCCTGTGAGCTTTTAGCCGTGTTATAATGTCGTTGCCACCTCAAAAACATATCTGCAGAGGTCTTTTGTTTCTTTCACACATGTTTGAGTAATCACATCACAAGGGGGAACTGAGTGTTTTCTGTTTGAGAGAAAAACTGAGCCTAAATGTGCAGAGTTTGTGTGTTAAAAATGTGTGAATGAAACAAAACACAACTCCAGGTCTGTTTGTAATGAGGAAACAACATACATATCATAGATCAGAGAATAGAGTAATACATGCCCTTTAAGTTTAACATACTTTGTAAAACAGAGCTGTTATTTTAAAACCGATGTTGTTAAGAGTTTATCAAGGACATTAAAATGCAGAAGTAAAACAAGACGAGACGAGGTTACCTTTATGGTGCCAATTCTGCATACATACTAAAGTAAGTAGTAAAAGCTTTTTTATGCAGTGGACTATAAACCCAGAGCAAAGTGAATATTTCACAAAAGACTGTTTTATAATACATAAGGGTCTAAATATTAATGTTGTGCGTATGTGCAAAGTGCAAACAATGTCCTTAGGCTGCTTGTTTACGTGCCATGTGTGTTTCCTGTGTATATTCACAACTGTTAAAGTGTATATTATTCTAAATAATTTTGGACATATTTGGAAAAAAATTATCTCATGTAGTGAAAAAAGTTTGTTCTTAATTTTTTTCCCAAAAGACTGAAAAGTTTTTGTAAGTTTAATAATCAAATGCCAGTATTGTGGCGTCAGTAGCTCAGTTGTGTCCACTGATCCGAAGGTTGGCGGTTCGAACCTCACTCTTGACATAAACATCATTGATTGAACAGTCAGATCCGTTGACCCACAGGTTGGTGGTGCAATTCCAGCTCCCACAGATGGACACTGTGATTGTTTCCTTGGGCAAGACACTTAACCCACCGCAGTCCCAGTGTTTGTGTGTGTGGGTGAGTGGTTCCTTGATGTAACACACTTTCAGTGCCCGAAGGAGAGGCACTATATTAAATATGACCACTTATCATTTGCCAGTATTATAAGTTCACAATATATTTATCTTGCTACAGACTGGAATATTGATATTTCACTTCTTTATTCTGAATTGAATGTAGCCGTGATAAGTATGTCAATGTCAGTGGATCCAAAAATATAATTTAGGTCCCAGTGGTGGTTGCAAAGGTTAGTTTATTATTAGTTCAAATTACTTTTAAATTGTAATGCTAATCCTTTAGATGGAACTGTGAAAGTTTTGGATGGGTTCTTGATGTGAGAAGTTACAAATTACCAGGCTGTCAGAATGAGCGGGAAACTGTGTCCTTAATGAATATGAATTTATAATCCAATGTCACTACACCATTAGCATCTCTTGCCTACTATTAACTTACACATTGTCCTTTCCCACATGCATCACTTAACTTCCTATGTTATCACGCCCTGTTTAAGATTATAATACAGACCACACTCCATGCTGTGTGGATTCTTATTAACAATCTGCTGAATTTGTACTTTTTTTTCCCAGAGGGGGCAAGAATGAACCAGAACCGGAGCAGCCCGTGCCCAGGAAGGTGACCATCCGAAGCCTCCCTTCATCGGACGACATCGACCCAGATGTTTTGGACAGCATGCACTCACTGGGCTGTTTCAGGGACAAGAACAAACTGCTGAAAGACCTCCTCTCTGACAGGTGAGCAACTATGGGAATCACAATTCACCTTATTCGGCCCTGTCTACTTTTGTCTCTGAATGCTGATAAACCACACTTTTTTGTGATAGTACTTTGATCCCATTCATTTCAATCAAAGAATTTGGAGAAAGTTTTGAAGCTAAAATATGATATAATGTAGGTTCAAGTGTTAAATTTCCTTGTGCACCAACAAGTCAGCATTGCACTGATTCTCTGGGGGGGATTTAAAATTTATTTGCTGTCAAGATCTCAGCCCCATGCAAAATAATACAACCTGAAAGATGATGGCTGCGAGTACTGCAACTTCGAGAATAAAGTGGATAGTCAAGAAGAAAAAGTCGTAGAAGAAAAAATGCAGATAGGAATACGAATTATACAGGTGAAGAGGGATGAAAGGATGAGGTGATGAAATAGAGGAAGAGAGACGGAGATAAGAGGGATTGCCGGAGAAGGAGAGCTGCGTAGAGTCGGTTGTGTTTTAGCCTGGCTTTTATGAAACCCACTGTGCCTGTCAGTTTCCATGACACAAGCCATACATCACTTAAGTGTTATCACAAAGCACTTACAGGGCTTCTCGCTTGATCCTTGCCCGAACAGAGAGAGGATCGCACGTCAGATGGAGCTTGGATATTTCTGTGTTTATGACAGTTTTTTGGTGCAGTAAATAGTAAATGATGAGTTTTATGTTGTAAAATAACTGTATGCATTACACTTAGACTTGGACTTAGACACTTTATTGATCCACAGGGGAAATTATTTGGACACAGCTCACACATCACAATGTAGAATAATAACAAGGAGCAACAATATAAATGGGAATAGTAAATGCAATATAAGTACAAAAATATCAAGAGTCTTCTGTCAAATAAGGCATAATTATACAAATGTATGTTAAAGTAAAAATAAAATATAGAAATTAGTATGGATGTAACGATATCCAAATCTCTTGGTACGATATTATCACGATATGCAACTCACGATACGATATTTATTGTGATATTTTGGAGAGGCTAATATAATTGTAGATAGGACACTTTTTTGCTTTTAAAATACCTTGACGAGATTTTGGTATGAATTATTTCCATCATAATCACAAGAATTCAAGTAAAAAACATATATCTTCCTGTTGTTTGCACTGAACTGAATTATGTAGTTCCCTATCTTCATAAGATGTTGCTACTGTAAAACCATGCATTTAAGCAAAGGAACTTGTAATTCGATATATTGTGATATTATTGTGAGACTTCTGACGATACGATATCACGATACTTTGCTTATTGTTACATTCCTAAAAATGAGTAATACAAAATATCAGGGCAACAATAGTGTACTGGGTTGGATGTGAGGCCACAAACAGGAGGCTTGCTGGTTCAAACCTTGCCTAAGTGCATCCTACATTGTCCTGGAAAGAGACTTCACTTTATCTAACCCCGTTACACATTGCAACTGGCTGTGGTTGTGACGGGAAATGAATCTAGGCTATAAACCTACCAAATCAAGAAGTATAAAATGCAAAAATTATAAATGTCTACTGTTGTATATGTAGCCCAGGTTATAAATGTGCCTAAACTGCATAAAATATATATATGTTTTCCCTATACATATGCTATGTATGCATATTCTGATTGACAAGAATGTAGTTCTGAAATGTACGTTAGAATACTAACACAAAGAATGACCGTTCTATCCCCACCATCACTGTTCCTAAATATTTATTTAAAGGTCCTATATTATGCAAAACTGACTCTTGTGAGTTTAAAGCCATGTTATAATGCTTTTATCCCATTAGAAACATACCTGGAGTTGTGTTTTGTTTCATTCCCATGTATTTGATTAACAATTTATTATAAAGCTCAAAAAGCTCTGTTCCACCTGGTAATGTCATGAAGTAGTTTTCAAGTTAACAGGAAGTTGTACCTTTTGGTTAGTAGAGATGGGGGTATGCTTTTGATGTGGAAACAACATTATAACAGAGATAAGAAAATAGCGTAATATGGGCCTTTTAATCATAATACTAAAATAACTGTGAAAGTGACTGACCAGATAAGTGATCTCAGAAATCTTGCCTCACCCCTGCTTGTCAGGAAGGGCACTGGTGCAAAAATAAAACATGCAAATCACCACCGTGACTAAGATGTGGTTGTATTCCCTTCGGCTGTAATGAGGTGTTTCTAAGTCTCCAGGGCCACGATGAACTAGTAGATGGCAGAGTTCATAAGTGCTAAGTTATCTTTGGTGGTGAGAAACAAAACATTACAAAACAAAACAAAACTTTCTCAGATAAACTTTTTTGTGGAAGGTGGTGAAATGACAATGAGGAAAATAATTGTGTTTGTTTACTCTTAAATAAAGAGCAGTTCCAGCTATTGTTCATTTTGTCAACACTTAAAAGTTGGATTCCTACCACAGACAATGCATTGTGTTGTTGTGTCCTTGAGCAACACTGTTCACCATCTTTTACTGCATGAATGATTCTGAGCTCATGGGTTCGATTCCCAGTCTATGCCTTTTTTTGTACATGTTCTCCCTATGTTTGTGTAAATTTTCTTGGCACTATGTGGAATTTTTTACTGTATATATCTAGTTGGATTGGAATGACTGGCAGTCTTTTTCTACCAGGTCAATTTAAATCCTCATAAAACTTGTTCTCCTTAAATTTGTTATATTTCCACATATATTGCACACATTATTAGGGATGCAGTGGTGTCAGACATCTGCACAGAAAATTTTGCTATACTGGATATCGTCTTCCAAATATTGGTTCAATTGATAACCTGGTTGGGTAAAAAAATGATGTAACAAAACTATTTACTGATTGTAATTGGCTAAGAAAGTCTCATAATATTTGGATTTTTATTTATACAAAGCTGTTCTGGCGTTACTTGAAGGATAAATAATAGCTAAATAACACATTTGCATCAGTTTTCTTTTTTTTAGTTCAGTTTTAAGGAAATAAATGCTGTTTTCAATCTCTGCATTGGTATTGGTTGATATCAGAATCAGCCGATAGCTATAGTATCGACATTCGTATTGCTGGGTTTCAGATGACAGCAGATGGCTGGCAGCTAAAATCAATATGTGTGTACATTTATATATATATATATATATATATATATATATATATATATATATATATATATATATATATATATATATATATATATATATATATATATATATATATATATATATATATATATATATATATATATATATATATATATATATCAATATATATCCAAATCTCATTTAAGCAAAGGAACTTATTCAATACATTATGACAGCACACGATATTATTGTGAGACTTTTGACGATACAATATCACAATATTTGGGTTATTGTTACATCTCTAAAAATGAATATTGTCAAAATGAAAAATTGTGTTGTAATTAGGGGTGGCATAGTTCACAAAATTCACGATTTGGTTCATATTGCGGTTTAAGATCGTGGTTTTCAGTTCGGTACAGTTCTTGAGGCAAACCTCACGAAACCACAGCCACGCATCAACGCAAAGGCGGCTCCATTGACAGCTGCAGCAGGACGTATACGCACTGGCTCTGAGTTTGTCAATGGAAAAGACGATCAAAATTGACTGCACGTGTTTAGTCGCTTGTATCAGGTCCACAGTGAATCTAACAGCTGAACAGACTTGTATTTACCTTCTGTAAAGGCTCACCACAGCAAACGCAAGGATTTCAAAAGTAAATTTTAAAGCACTTATTAACAGTCTTTCGGGACCTGGGCTCTTTCACACGACACAGAACTGCCCCTGGAGTAAACGCACAAATACAAAGATCCATGCTCTCTGTGTATTTTGATGGGGATATACGCCTACGCTTGCGTAGAGCATCAAAAAATAGGATGGATCCTATTTTCTGAAATCTACGCGCGCAGGACATGCTGCTCCATATGCGCATCTAGCGCATACAGTGGAGCCACCCTCATTCACTTTCCATGCATTCTAAAAGTTATATGTCCAAAAGTTGCAATTTTTACACTCGCATAGGATGTAAATGCACCCAGTCAAGTTTGATCAGCTTTTCCATTGACAAACACAGAGCCAGTGCTGCGTGTGTACGTCCTGCTGCAGCTGTTGGTGGAGCAGCCTTTGTGGTGACGCGTGGCTGTGGTTTTGCGAGGTAACGACACGGGCGCATCCTCCATCTACGGGTGGCCCTCTCCTACTGGCCATTTCTACACATGACACACAGCACCCACCCTCCACACCTCTTCTTTTGCGCCATAATGAAACAGGTCACATATGGGCACGAGGCTACAATGCGCAAGCCGGGAACCGTGAAAACCATATGGTATGCACACGTCCTGAACCGTGACAAGCGAACCGAATGGTTCGGTTCTTTTTCATGAACCGTGCCATCCCTAGTTGTAATACAGTGAGTTTTTGAGTTGTCCGGTTCAACATTTGTGAATTTACCTTTTGGATATTCCATGGCAAAGTATCACTAGGGAAATCTGGCCCTTGCCCCCCGTCTGGGAATATAATATCATCACATTCTCCAAACTGACTAACCACTTATTGGAACTGAAAAAGCTGGACAGGTGCATCCCCACACATTATGCATGTCTGGTTAGGTCCTATCTGCTATTACAGAGTTTAGTGTCTCCTCATCATCCTCTATTTAATTCTAAGTGTGTTTCCTTCCCCACTCTGGCCTCTCACTGTGTCTCTCGTCTCCTCCTCTTGTCTCCTGGGAGCGGTCTGTAATAAGGCTGGACGAGGGGAAATCTCCATGTGCGTTTGGTGCTTGATTTTAGCTGAAGTTGCAGGTCTCTGTCTCTTTGCCTCCTACTGGGCTCCAATCTGTCTTTATTACAGCCAAACCAGCTCCTTTGGCCTATGCAAACGAATGGCCCACAGGCTTGAATCTGCTCATTTAGACAGAAGCAAAAAGTAACGTTTGATTCTTTCACAAAATTGCAAAGACTATATTAAGTGTATTGTCTAACATGATGTTTTTGTTTTTTTTTAAGTCAAGTGATTTAGAAGTTACAGGTCAGATCTGTGAAGAGGCAATCCCACTCAAAGTCAGAATATCTGTTTTTCTTGATATTTCTGAGCTATAAAACCTGTAATTTAGGTGATGGACCCCCAACCAAAAAGTTACATGTTTCATTTATTGTTTCCAAATGATCAAATATATACATATACATACAACTGGCAGGTAACAAACTCACAGATGTCACAATTCTGCAGAGCTGGGGGAAAAAAAATAACATCCAAAATGCAAGTCCCCCACCAGAACAGATCCACATGGAGAATGGCAGGTGGACAAAATAATAATAGGTGGGGAAAAAAAGTGCAAAACAACCCCCCAAAAATACGAAAAACCCACTCCCCCTGTCTCCGCATGGGTAGAATATTTATCCCAGGTGTTGTCTTTATTCACATGTAACTATGCCACAGCCTATTCTTTTTAAAGAGCTGAATACAACTGTAAGAAAGGGCCCCATGTTTTCTCAAATGCACTAATATTTTGTTTAAATGAAAATCAAACTTTTCCAGCTTTAAACAGGACATGACATCTTGTAACCACTGTGAATGTGATGGGGTTTTAGCATCTATTCCCTTGCTAGACAGGATATCTTGGTGTTTTATTGTGCTTTTCCTGCTATCTGTATATCTGTTTGTTTGTATTTTTTATTTATTTTTTTATTTTTTTGTTTTCTTAGTTGACTTTTATGTGAAGCACTTTGCTATATAAATAACCTTGAATTAAATTAGGAAAAATTGTCAGATTCAAATGTTTGTTTTGTGTGATTTGGGAGGTTTTATCATGCTTAATACAGCTGTTTTCAAACTCCCTACTGCTTACTGCTAGAATAAGTTATCTCAAGCACAAATCACAACTTGACATGGGCCATAATATTGTTTAGAAATGGCTGCGTCATGTCTTAGAAAACACATTTAAAACTAATAAGATATTTAATGGTCCATCACTCAGTGTATTACAACACTCATTTGGACTCTTGCTGTTGTGGATTCTGAATTCTTTCTTGGTGAAGTAAACAATTAAAGTGCCACTCCAGCAACTATGTAACTTTTCTTTTGGAATGTCCATCACAACGTCTCCACAGAGATGTAGCTGCTTTCTTGGAATTTTCCACAGTGTGGCATTAAATGTATCACTCTTGCATTTATTTAAATATGGGTGTTTTATTGGTTGAAACATGAAAAATATGCATTCTTACAGTGAGTAAACTCTCCACAAATCTGACCTATAACCTGACATTGTGAAATTAGATGCTCGTCTCCAGATAGTCATGATTGACGTCAATTCTTTGGAACATTCTAGGCCAGGGGTCTACAACCTTTTTCCTCCGGTGAGCTACTTTTACAAAACAAAAACTGCAGAGAGCTACTCATTTTAACATCCACAAGAAATTGAGAGTAATTATAAGAAAGAGGGCAAGGGTACACTAAGATACCTGTAAAACATAAACTTTTTTCTATTTATTAGTGCACAAAGTTGGTCTTCTTGGAAGGGGGTGGAGAACTACTGGTAGCTCCCAAGCTATAGGTTGGAGACCCCTGAGAAGTTATTGGAGACAAGCAACTAGTATACTAGTAAAATTACATAGTGCAGTTTTACCAAAAATGTAAGCTCCCATCTTTCAACCCAAATGTATTATTATTTAGTCTGCTCTGTCCAGTACTAAAGGCCAGAGAAATATGATTAAATATGTATTCAAATATATAATGTTATTTCATGCTTGAGGTTCAGAAAAAGCTGCAACATCTCCTCATACCTTGATCCTGCAGCTTAGGGCCTGAGACAAGTTTGGTGCTAGGAAATGAAAAACAAAAGTCTCTCAATAAGTGAACATAATGGTCATGTTTTTGCTCTTTTGTTTCCAGTGACAACCAGGAAAAGATGATCTATTTCCTTCTGCTGGACCGTAAGGAGAGGTATCCCAGTCAGGAGGACCAGAATCTGCCACCACGCAATGAAGTTGGTAAGAAAGATTAGGATACAATACAGCAATACAGCATTTATAATAGACCTACATATGTATTATCATCTTAATTGGTGTCTTTAGGAATTTCAGTATGGTGGTTAATCATATATCCTTATAAATAAAACAGCTCCCTATTGACACTAATGTTTCCTATGTCCTCTTATTCTACCTCTCACTGCAATTTCAAGTTGCTTTAGAATAGTCATAACTTTTTGAGAGAAAAAAGGATTTGAAGTTTTTTGGAATAGAATACTAAAACATTCTAATGATAATAAAGCAGAATTGTTCTTTCCAAATATAATATAAAAGAATCCACACTCTCCCCAAGCAACGTGGATTAAAAAGAGATGCTCAAGTTGGTCTTGTTCTTGTGTGATTTTTCACTGACTGACAGTGGCTGCATATGCTTCGATGGCGACATTTTGATGAATAGACTCCCTCTTGAGTGAACGCGATACAGTCAATGCACCGGCCATTAGTTCAAGGTCTGAAAAGGAAGCATTAGCTATTCACAGTATTAGTTAAATGTCAGTGCCATGAGAGCTAAACATCGCTCACAAACACAACAGTTTCTACGTCAGTGTGTGAAGTCGCCAGGTGCATCATGGGTAAGGTGTTTTTGTGTATGTTTGTGCTTAGATCCACCAAAGAAGAGAGTGGACAGCCCCATGTTGAATCGCCACGGGAAGAGGAGACCAGAGAGGAAGTCTATGGAGGTGCTGAGTGTTACGGATGGGGGCTCGCCTGTTCCTGCCAGGAGGGCCATTGATATGACACAGCATGGACAGAGGTGGGCTCCAGACACAGTTACTTACAGAACATTGGATTGTACTGATGTGAAATGTAGCACAGGCCTAATGGGAAAGCTTTCCAGAGGTGGGGACATTAGACTAAAAAGTTCTTCATTAGGCAAGGTGAGTTTATGTAGAACAAATCATACATGCACATACACAATAATGGAGGTTGAACATTTTATTCAAGTAAATACACTACCTGTCAAAAGTTTTAGAACACCCTAATTTTTCCAGTTTTTTATTGCAATTCAAGCTTTGCAAGTCCAATGAAGAGTTTAAAATCGTACAAAGGTAAGTACTGAACAGCCAGAGGTTTAAAAAAAAAAAAAAGATAACAAATGTCCAAGCTTTGCCAAAACTACCTCAGGAAGAAAGAAAAAGATGATAAGCTTGAAAACGTGGAGTGGCCAGTACAGTCTCCAGACTTAAACCTCATCGAGCTGGTTTTGGGATAAACTGGACAGAAAAGTGAAAGCCAAACAACCTACAAGTGCCACACATTTATGGGGACTTCTGCAGTAGACTTGGGAAGAACTTTTTGAAGAATATTTGAGTGTTCAGCTGTATCTGCCAAAGGTGTCTAGTTTGATGAATCAAAAGTTTAGAATACGTTTTGGTCAACAGTAGACAGTAAAAAACTGGAAACACTGTGGTGTTTTAAATCTTTTGACTGGTAGTGAATAAATATGGATGGAATAAAGTAAATATTGAACTGGGACATTGGTGACAGGTTCACAAGGCCACAGAGCTGGTGATCAAGACACTTCACCCACCTTAAAGGTCCTATAAACACAAAACTGCTATGTTATAATGCTATTACCTCCTCAAAAAAATACCCAAAGTTGTGTTTTGTTTCATTCACAATTCCATTTGAGAGAAGAACTCAGTCTACATATGCAGGGTTTGTGTTGAACATGTGTGAATGAAACAAAACACAACTCCAGGTATGTTTTTTGATGAGGAAAAGGTAGGTTCCATTGCAAAAGTAAATTGGATTCTTTCAACTGGACAAAAAGTTTTACCGTAATAGTGAATACGTTTTGCCATTACTTGGATGAGTGGTGAAACTTATTTTCTTTTAAAATCTTTTGTCCAGTTGAGAGAATTCAATTTGTTTTGTGATTCTGTAATTGTTTCTAAGTAAATATAATGCAAAACCCCACCTCTGGCTCTATTGCTTTGCATAATTTACATGAAATCTCTAAAACCTTTTTAGCTTTTACTCTCCACTTTTTCCAGCCTGGTTTACTGGGAGTGGTACCAGCACTTTGACATTCTGTCCGCTCTGTGTCTCTGTAGTAAATCAGTGTACAGTAAAAGCCTGGAGATTCCTGAGGCCAATTCAAAATACAGCAAAGAAGAAAGGTATTGACCAGGTGTCCCCTCCTGTAGCTGTAGAGACGTGACTGTGTCTGTGGAAAGATGCATGGGTCCCTTTAATCTTGTCAAATAAGTTTTAAAGATTTTGTTTACAAATTTTTTATACTTTTACAGGTCCCATATTGCACAAAATAGATTCTTGTAAGCCTTAAGCCATGTTAGAATGTTGTTGCCTCATCAAAAACTTAACTGGAGTTGTGTTTTGTTTCATTCACACGAGTAACACTTTATCATTCGTCGTTTTCAAGTTAACAGCAACTTTTACCATTAGATCAGAAGAGATTGGCAACTCCAGGGCTGATATCATCCACATGATTCTAGTGAAGGTGTATGGAGTTTAAAAACACAGTGGCGCACTTCCTATATTACCACATGACATCACGAGTTTGAGTTTGAGAGAAGCGCTCAGCCTAAATATGCCGGTTTTGTGTGTTAAATAGGGCCGGGTATCATTAAGACGTTGCCGGTACGATACATACCTCAATATGCAGGCCACGATACGCTTTTTGATACAGTGCACTTTCGATTCAATAAAATTTGAGGTGATATATTTCAAAGTGATTCAATACGATTCAATTAAAAACAAAGGCTAAATCTTGGCCATGATACTAAAAGTCTAAGTCCACTAAGTGTGTGCAGAGTTAATGATGTCGGGTATAGAACAGGAAGTACTCAGTGTATATCATTTAACCAAAACATGAACTCTTATAGACACCGGAAACTCTTATGATCATTGTTGCAAATCTAACGCACATCTGAATCATGAGAAGAGCAACATTTCATACTTAGTTAATATGAAAAACACCAATTTTACTCATCAAAACAGTGAAAATGTCAACACAATTGTAGCTCTTACACAAAATTATTTAGTAAAATATATCTAAAAATACTCTTAGCGATATATTGTTTCAGCAGTCCATGATACCGATACTGTATCATCAAATTATACAATAACTAAATCGATATTTCAATAATATATTTGCACACCCCTAGTGTTAAACATATGTGAATGAAACAAAACACAGCTCCAGGTCTGATTTTGATGAGGAAACAACATTATATCTGATCAGAAAATTGTGTAATAAGGGCTAATAAATTGGCTTAAGTTTCAAAGTTGTAAAAGTTTCACATTTGCAATTCAGACTTTAAGCTCTTTGCCATTTCCGTCGCCTTTTTCACCCATTAAGATCCTTTCTCAATGTTAATGCATTGATAATCACTTTCTCTCATACTGTGCCCCACTTTACTCCTGCTCACGTTGCACTTTTATATGTTCAAAAATGTTAAATCCAACTCCACACCTCGAGCTGGAGGAGGCTGCTTTTAAAATCTATTTCTCAATCGCTATGACAACCAATATATATCATGGCGAGGTGGGTTTGAGCTCGGAGGTGCTGACATTTGTGACAGTGGGGGAGACTGATTCGGAGAGAGATGATGGTCTGATCTCACTAACGATAAGCAGATTGGCACAGAGCAGGAGATGCCGTCAGATCCGCCACACATGAATGTAGAGAAGAACATACAGCAGCTATCTACAGCGGCGTCGTGGAGTCCAATTTGCATACGAGAAGAGTTTCCCTAGCAACTATGAATTCTAATATTATTCATTTAACGCGTAGTGAAGAAGGAAGTTGTAAGCCTTTGCAAATTATCTTTATTTGAGACCAAGTATGCAAAGAGGCTAGGAATCTTTAGAATTAAAACCTGTCTAGCATTGTTTTTTAAAAGCCAAAACTGAACTTAAAGGTGCGCTGCAAAACTTTTTCTGGTAGAGGGTTTGTCGAATACTTGGAATCAAATTAAATGTATTTGTATAGCACATTTAAAACAGCCAAAGCTTAACAAAGTGCTGAACAACATTTACAGTGAAATAAAACATACAATAAGCAAATCAAGCATAATAATAACAAATACAAACAGCAAGGTGCCAAGGTGTCTCGTCCGAACTCTGGGCAAATGCCAAGGAGAAAAGGTGCGTTTTGAGCAAGGATTTAAATAGCTCCAGTGACTGTGCAGATGTTATTGCTTTGTCCAGAATGTTCCATGGTATAACATTAAACACATCGATCTAGCATGTATTCATTACAGGTGTTTTATTGCTCAAAAATACAGTAATTCTCTCTGTGAATAGGGTTGCCCCTCCACAGATCTGAGCTGTAATGTAGCCTATAGTTGTCTCGGTTGATATAGATTTATAGGTTTAATCTCTACTGTAGAACATTCTAGACGAAGCAATGACGTCTCCATGAAGACAAGACCCTCAACCAAAAAAGTTGGGCAACAAACCTTTAAGCGTAACAAAAATACGTATTTATTAATTCTTGATAAACAGTAACTCACTAGTTTCACAGTCGTTACTTCAAGCATATTAGCCAGGTTGGCGCCACCTAGTGCAATTTCATTTCTCTCCAGCGACTAGGTCAGAAATCGGAATACACTAGACGGTTTGCTAGAATCCCGGAAGTTGTAGACCGAGCACCGGCCAATCAGAGAAGAGCTGTGAAGCCAGGACGTCAAACTCAAGCTCCTGTCTGGGTCCCTTTTGTGGTACAGCGCAACAGTTAACAAAGCGGTTGAGATGGATGTAGACGAAGCCATACATTCTGTGTTGGCAACGATTCCCAAGATTGAGGATTTAAAGCCAGAACAAAGAGAATGTTTGGTGAAAGATGTTATTGCCCTTCTTCCATATAGCAGCGAATGGTTAAATAAAAAAGTACCCGCCTACCTTCGAGTGAACGAATCCTAATGCTGTGAGGTCAGATGGTTTCCACAAAGTGAAACTGGCTGATGAATCAGGCTAGAAGAATATAGGAACAGAAAGCTAAAAAAAATAATGCAAAAAGTTTGTACTATATTTTTTTTACAATATGGCTTTGTACAAATGAAACTGCATTATTAAATCGCAAATTAATCTTAAAAAGCAGCTTTGTATCGGATACAAAGCTTGCATACAGTATTATATGTAAGAATAGTCATAACTGCAGTAGAATGTTAATACTGTAGCATTTGTCCTTGGCCAAGAAGAATGGCACTCATGTCTCTCTGCCAGTCTGTCCTAGGATAACTTTGACTTCAATACAACTACACTTTTTAAACCTGAAATCTCATGTGTAACCAAATCTATTCCCTCAAACCTGAAATTTAATTGATTATTCAGTGGAACCAAAACTAGTTTCTGATCTTTTTTCAAGATTTTCACTCTCCTCAGGTCCGAAAGTCTAATCTCTTTTGAAAAGCACCTCTTTTTGTGAGCTGAATCCCCAAATCCTCACCTCTACAATCTCTATCTTATCTCGCTGCCATTACCATCTTATAAAACTGCATACATCACAATGGAGGCCTTATCACATGTGACCTTTAGGCCAGCTTGTATAAATCTCAATGAGAGTAAATGGGAGAGTTATTTTAAAGGTCCCCTGCATCTTTCCTCAGTGCTATTTTGAATCTGTGTTTGTTTATAGCCCACCACAGTGCTAGTGTGTAGACAAAATCCCTATCATTATGTAGCTTCGCCTTTCTATCTTGTGGTCTCCCGTGTATCTGACCTTCAGTCCCTCATGGCCCCCCAACTTAGTGTGAAATTGCTATGCTAATGTGCAGATGCTGCTAC